ATTTTCTCATACCTGTTCGTCATTTGGAAGTTTTAAACTTTTGTTTATCTGCAACATGAGATTGTTTTTTGCCTCCTTTTACTCTGATTCCATTGAATATGATGAATTCAACATTGCAGGATGTAAACTGATAAGATCTAATTATACGCACTGTGATTCTCTAAATCTACACACATGGTTACATTTAACAAACTCCTAGATAATAGAAAGGTTTTGAGCTATTATAAAACCACAACATTAAAACAAATGAAAATAACAGAAGAGTAGCAGCAAAAAGAAGGTATGAAGGGAATGAATAGAATGTAATGTCTTATCAACAAATGTGAAACAAAAGGAAGTTTTTGTATGTTTGACATGAAGACTGTAAAAAGAACACAACAACAAAAAAAAAAAAAAAAACGGTGGGAGATTTCAGTGGGTTTTGTTGACAGGAGGACAAAAGGCCAGATTGTTTGTGCCATGTAGGTTAAGTGGGCACCTCTGCGTACTCTGCAGGATAGATCATATTCACTCGCACACAAACATGAAGTTGCAGAATTATCTGCAGGGTTCAATATGCTTTCTCTATAAAATAAAAGGCAGCAGGGTTTACCTCACAGTTGAAAAACAGCAAGAGTCTGAGCAGCCACCGAAATCTGCACTCTATGAAGCCTTTTGTTGAATTATCCTCTATTACATTTGTTGCAAAACTCTTTAAATTTGAATGTGAAAATGCTCAAAAAAGAAGCTTTTTCTTTACTGAGATGGTGATTTAATGAATAGTTATGAAAATACTGGATGATTGATCAATTCTATTTGAACTTTTATAGGGTCGTATTTTTTTATAATTACAGGTTCCTAGATATAATCTATTATCTTCATTATCTATGAGTTTATAGTGCACATTTACTGCAGAAAACTATGTAGACCAACAATGAGTAAAACCATAAGTTCTTCCAAAGCAGTGGAGTTATTTTTTAATCTTTTTCTATCAGTTTAATGCCTCTCTAAAATGCATTAATTGGCTTTAACCACCCCTTTGGTTGTCTATTCATACGTAATTTGCACAGCCTGAAATTGTATTTGTTAAGGTGGTCTCTAGAAGATGGGGAGTCTTTCAATGCCTCCTAATCAGAGATGAGCACTCAAAAGGATTCAGAGAGCTACCCAGACAAAGGAGGTGCAGGAGGACTGCAGATCCATTTAGAAAAGCCTGAGCATCCTTGGATAGATACAGACAGAGAAGGTGGAACACAACAGTGATGTTAGATAAGTGTTGAAGAGAGAGGGCTGCATCTATCAATTATTCATTACATTGGTAATACAGCCTCTCTCCTGCCCCAAATAACATTAGCTGTCCTGGATAGAGGCAAGCAGAGAGACAGAAAATGGTGGTGGGGGTAGTGAAAAGACACTGGAGACACTGAAAGAAAGTTTGACATTACAATAATAAGATGATGAAATTTTTTTATTTCATAGAATTAAAAAAATTTAAATTTCCAGCTTTTTATTTTTATTACGTCTTCATAAGTACAGCGCAACTAAATAAACTCTCTGCATTTAACTCATCCCCTTGGGAATGCAGTGTAATTAGGCGGTGCCTTGGGAGCAATGTGGGGTCAAGGGCCTTTTGCTCAGGGAGCCTGAGTGGCAGTGGATTCCAAGCTCTACCACCTAACCACTAGATCGCCACTCCCCCTCTTGTGACCGCTTACTCTGTAGAAGGTTTCTAAACTCAGTGAATCATTGTTTGGTTTATTGATTTCTTACTAAAGTGACTTTTTACAGGTTAGCATTCATTTTATCATGTTCAATTGAATTATGCATGAAAGGATTTAAAGCTGTGGTTCAAAATGTTTCGCAATAACATCTTGATGTCTGCTGTCATTGTCAATAGCAGGAGCCATAAGTACAGGTGGGAGAGAGAGAATCTTTTGTCAACAAGTTTCTCCACATAGTTATCATACCTGCCATCTGTGTGCAGTGCTGAATGCAGCTGTGATGTCAGCAGCATGTGTAAAATCCTTATTTATATTGGGCGGTCACAACAAATTTGCCTCACTTATCAACCATACAAATATAAATCACACAACACTCAATAAAACACATCCACTTTTTTATTTGTACAACCAACTTTGTGCTCCTTATTTGAAATCAACATAGATCAGGCACAAGGACGGAAATATTTAGACATGTTGTGTCTTTCATTGTAATGGGTATGGCTTATAGATAAGGAAGAAACATATTCAGTGTCTCAAGAAATGAATTATTGTGGGAAAGTTGGAAACTGGCGCAACCCTATAAGTGCTCTATTTCACACCAGTAAAGGTTCCCTGGGTCTCTAAACAGTCTATCAGTTGAGTGGAAGATGAGTGGAAGGAAACTATGTAGTAGGAAATGAAACTTAAGAAAGGATGCATAGCATCCAGTTTTTAATTGTTGTTCACCGATGTTAGCTTTAAATGTAAATACTGGACATCAGCCCTTTGCACCAATATAACTCAGAGATATAAAAGGTTCTGTTTTTGTGACAAACAATGAAGAATTATGGCTGCAGCTCTGGCAGGTAAAATGCACCTAACGATTGCATTAGTCTGCATAAATAGTGTGCATAAATCTAGGAAGGTGCTTGAATGCCTCTTTATGTTAAAGACTTTGACATTATTACATGTCAGACTTGTTACTGCAGATTTCACACAATGATATTAGTGGGTGAAACTAACTACTACACTCACTGTAGTAGTCAAGTTTTAATGATTGTTTTTGTTTTTAATGTTTTTCATAAAAGCAACTAAAAAGCACTTTATTCATGTAGAAGTCCCAGTCAGCTCTCTCTCTGTCAGTTGAAGGCAGCATCCTAACGTTTACCAGTCTGTGAAGTGGTATGAATAAAGCTGACGGGATGAGAATAGCATGTAGCTGTCAGAGTGGCTTGGCCTTTAAGAAACTTGTGTTAGCTTAGTTCAGCCTGCCACTATTCTGACAGCTCTGTTTCCAAACGAGAATTCCATTTATTGAAAGCATTCTGAGTGCAGTGCGAGTAATTGCAAAAGACATATTAAATGTGAGGATACTAATCAAAGTGTTAACCTGTCAAATTTAATCCACTTAAAAATCTGATGTTGTGATGAGTGTTTCAGGGTGAAAGACCCTGTCATCTGAATGCAAATTTAAGCATGCATTTGTCTGAATCTTGACCAATGTGTCAGTTTGTTTCTAAACATTAAGCGCAATCTTTATATCTCTTGGTCTTTGACTCTTACTTTAAATAACATGAGGTGCTTTACACAGTGACTTCTACATTTTTTTATCCTGGGATGGTTGTGAAATTGCTGAGTATTTTCCAACTATTAATGCACTGCACTTCAAATGTGGATACCCTTTAAGCATGTTGTGTAAAAAAAAATACTGGATTTGGTGTGTTTCACTATCCCACTGCTTCACCCCTTGGGTCAGTTTAGCATAACAGAACTGAATTATTATTTTTACTCAGCATATATAATTTTAATGTAAATTGCTGATTAACAAATATAATCACTATAGGTCAGATCTGGACTGGAATTCAGGCAGCTGGCCCTTTTTTGGCTGAAGCCTGTTTTGTAATTATAAAACCATCTATTACCAGAGGTGGGTACTCTGTTACAATTACTTGATTAACCTTTTCACAAAGTATTCTTTTAGCAGTAATTTTACTAGATGTATATTTTCGTTTAGAAATATTTTAATAAAATATTACAATTCATACTTGAGTAAAATGTTTGGCTACTCCATCCATTGTGCAAAGTGTATATTGGGCGTGCAGGTGGCGCAGTGGTTAGTGCGCACAACCCATGTACGGAGGCCTTAGTCCTCCGTACGTGTGCCGCATGTATCTCCCCCTCTCTCATTACCCTTTTCCTGTCAGCCTACTGTTGAAAAAATGAGACACTAGTGCCGTAAAAACTCATAAAAAATATTTAAAAACAAAAGTGTATATTCATGCTAATGCGTATGTCAAAAAGAGTGCTCTATTGTACACAAGCCAGAACCTAAAGGAGATACATAGTAAGCTGTAAATATTATCACTGGTTTTTTATTAAAAAGAAAATTCGTTTGGAAAAGTGATTCCTCTGCCTTGAATAGTTTTTGTTTAATTACATGATTTGTTTGCTTTACTAAATGTATTAAATGTATTATAGTCTATAAAATCCCATGATTAGCACTTAGCTTTACATTTTTGTCTTTTTTTATTGCATAATTTCCAATATCCTATGTTATGATTGGTTCTTCAGTACTTTTTTAACAAGTAGTTTTTTACTCCTTCTTAAATAAATGCTTGGATTAGTATTTTCTAATCTTACTTGGGTAAAAATATGAAGAAGTAGTGCTACTTTCAAATGAGTAAAATTTTGGGGTACACTACCTATGGGTGTAACACATTCAGTAATGTTTTGATTTTGGGCTGGCATTTATGTCACTTCACTCGTCTCTCTTACCGTGGCTCATATCCTTTCCCATATTTTCTTTTGATTTTATCACATCAGTGCTTGGAAATACTTGGTTTAGACCCGGTTTATAATTTCCATTTTTGCTTAATGTTTGATAGAATTTTATGACTTCATATACTGTTGACTAAAAGAGACTAAGAGTTTGTAAGAGCCAAGAAGAAAGGTTAGATGATAAAAGAAGCCGCTTCCACCGCACTAGTGTACCAAAATGTACAGTATCCATTGCAATTACTTTAAACATAAACAACATAACACTTTGTATAATTCATCACACACCAAGTAGCAGATAATCACTTCTGATTCAAATTAACTGTTTCATATATCAACTATTACATTTTCTTATTAACAATGATATAAGGAGAAGTCTGATCAGTAGATCACAAAAAAGTTTGCAAAGTACAAACTTTTTTTTATCTAACCAAACAAATAGGGTCTTAGTTTTGGACTAAATGTTTGGTTTGGTTATCTATATATCGCTATGATTAAAAAAAAGTGATTCTTTTGCCGTTTGTGTTTTTTCTCTATTTTCTTCAGAAAAAAGAGTGGCTATGTCTCAACTGCCAGACCCAGCGACTGTTGTCTGGAGGCGGCCTTGATGAGCCTCCTCTTCCTGTTCCCCATCAGTCGCCAAAGCACCAGCCTTTGAGCTCACCTCGTCACCAGACTCCTACCACCCAGCAAAGTCCTCTCCACAAATCTACCACTCAGCAGGGACCCAGACCAGCCCAGCCCCAGACACAAAAAATACAACCTGGAACTGGTGTTAGCGGACCTATGGCTCCCCAGTCTGCTAAACCAGCAACCGATGCTAAATCCACAACACCAGCTGCAGCAAAAGTACTGACCACAGAGGCCCAGAAACAGATGAAACCAACAGAGGAGAAGCCCAAGACAGAACCTGACAACCAAACCGCCAAAGAGACTAAACCCTCACAAAAGAAAGGAGAACAGATCACTCCAGTAAAGGAAATCAAAAAGCCGAGGCAATATGACGTAAGTTAATTTCTGTTCTTTCCTCTTTAATTTAACTAAAGCTTGTTATAATAAAGTAAGTAAATAAGGTAATGGAATGTTTGAAGACATACAAATAGTATAGACTATTATATGTCACACAGACAAGCATGTCCGATTCATCCATCCATCCATCCATAAGGTAATGGAATGTTTGAAGACATACAAATAGTATAGACTATTATATGTCACACAGACAAGCATGTCCGATTCATCCATCCATCCATCCATCCATCCATTTTCTAACGCGCTTATCCGTGCTGAGGTTTTACAAAAAGCATATATATATATATATATATATATATATATATATATATATATATATATATATAAAAGCAAGTATATGAGCAAGTTTTGCTTACACTGTTAAAGATTATTATTTTTGGAGTTTTGGAGCCCATCTTTATTTCTACATAAATAATATTTAATTTTCTTTGTATTCATTCCTTTAAACTAAATAGCATATATTGCAACTTTGCAACCTTAATGTTTTAAAGCATATTTTATTTCTACTTATTTTTACGCTTAGTAAGATTTTGTTTAAAATTAGAATATTAAACCATCATTAAAAAAGAGAAAATATTCAGAAATGTAGGATTATTGGAAACTACCTATTTGGTTAAAGCTGGTTATCTCAAATTCATAAATACAAGACGGCAAAAAAAAAAAAAAAAGATCCAAAAAACACCCTGCACTTTATAGCTTATACACTTCCTTCTGGTTCACACCTTGAATTAATTATAGTGTATAGATAATCCAGGAGAGAAATGGTCTAGTGCTCTACCATTTCATCTACATATGCTGTATTCTCAGTATAATATATTGGGATAGCCATAACTGAAAGATGCTAAATAATAATAGGATCATTAAGCCTCCCCTTACTTTTGTTTTCATTCTAACCCTTTGCGTATATATGGTGTATTCTTAAAGCCCTATGATCTGATGTGATCTGAGTGTATTTGTATTTGTTTCACTTTAATTATTCAAAATTCAACCAATAGTCTATACTGATCTCACAAAAATAGTCAAAAAGTCAAAATTGACAAGATCTATTAAATATTTTTTTTTATTTGTATGGTTCATAGGTCATTTATATAGCCCAATCCCTGAAATGAAAAGTGAAACTGTTTAGATCTTCTATTAAAAGGAAAGGATTATGGCTTTGTGGTGTTTAATTTACCTAAGTAAAGACACTTGGTATTTGTTTTTGTTTTTTTCTTTTCTAGACACAGTATTAAATACTTTTTTTGTGCAAAAGATTTTCATTTTTGACATACTCCTAGTAGAAAAAAAAAAACATCATCCGTTAAATTGAAAATAAAAACAATTTACATTGTAAGCAAGCTATGTCAACAACGTTCTTGGTATCTATTATTTGTGAACCAAATGAAACACCTAAACTTCACTAAATCTCATACAATCTTTTTTCTTTCTTTTTTCTGTAGGATACAAAAAACAACAGCACCCATGACTTGTCACGCAGCCCTCAGAGCCTCAGTGATACCGGCTACTCCTCTGATGGGATCTCCAGCTCGCACAGTGAAATTACAGGTCTAATCCAGGAGGAGGAAATGAAGCTGAGCGAAAGGGGCATCATTGGGCGGGGCTCTCCTCCAAGTCCCTCTGAAATCACTAAGCTAGAGAGCTCGATGAGGCCACTGCTAGAGAAGAGCCTCTCGGAGGAAAAGCCAGACAGAAGGGGAAGAAAGCATAGGGACAGAGACTTAGATGACCGAGGGAAGCATCGCCCTCGTTCCCTTTCAATTCCACCAGATGCATATGACTCTGATGAGGAATTAGAGGATATACTAGAAGAAGAAGAAGACGGTGGAGACTGGGAGGGTAAACGAAAAGAAGGAAAGGAAGAAAGAAAAGAAAAAAAGAAGAAGGAAAAGGAAAAAGAGGCAGATCCAACAGAGATGACGGATGAAGAGTTCATGCGAAGACAAATAATGGAGATGAGTGCTGATGAAGACAATGAAGAAGATGAGGAGGAGATTGAGGATGATGAGGATGAGGAAGATGAAGGTTACGGCTACCAGAAATCGAAGAAAACACATCATAAACACATTCTCTCTGATTCAGGGAAAGAAAAGAGGCGGCTGCAGCACCACTCCAGTAGTTTTGAGGAAGAAACCAAGACCTCTTCTGATGTTTTTAAGGGCTCTGTAGAGGAGGGGGAAGAAGATCTGATGGCATCACAGGGAGGACTGAGACGCTTTAAAACTATTGAACTTAACAACACCAATAGCTACAGCCGAGATATGGAGTTGAGCAATGAAAATGATCTAAACCTTGATCGGGAGCCAGAGCTCGAGATGGAGAGCCTAACAGGATCTCCTGAGGAGCGTTCTAGAGGGGACTACTCTTCCACTTTACCCCCAACTTCATCTTCATATGGTTCAGGTCAGTCTCCAACATCTATCTCATCAATGGAGGAAGACAGTGACAGTAGCCCAAGTAGGAGGCAACGATTGGAGGAGGCCAAGCAACAGAGAAAAGCACGCCACCGTTCTCATGGCCCCCTGCTTCCAACCATTGAAGACTCATCAGAAGAAGATGAACTAAGAGAGGAAGAGGAACTTCTAAGAGAGCAGGAGAAGATGAGAGAGGTAGAACAGCAAAGAATAAGAAGCACAGCACGGAAAACCAAGAGGGATAAAGAGGAGCTGAGAGCACAACGGCGCAGAGAAAGATCTAAAACACCGCCTAGCAATCTCTCACCAATTGAAGATGCTTCTCCCACAGAGGAACTAAGACAAGCAGCAGAGATGGAAGAGCTTCATCGTTCATCTGCTTCTGAATATTCGCCCCAAAGTCTGGACTCTGAGGCTGAGGGGTATGAATCCAAAATCTACAAGTCAGGCAGTGAATACAACCTGCCAACATTTATGTCTCTCTACTCACCTATAGAGAAATCATCCTCAACTACAACCACCACTGCACCATCATCAACCTCCAAACCTCTAAAAAGTGCTGAGGAGGTATATGAGGAAATGATGAGAAAAGCTGAAATGCTGCAAAATCAAGAGAAACTACAGCAGCAGCAACAGCAACATGCACGACATGGGCAATACTATGAGGAAGACATTAATGGACAAAATTATGATGACGACTATGACTATGAACAAGATCAAACAGGATATGACAATGAAGCAGCAGAAATTGAAAATGACATTTACGAGGAAATCCGACAGACATCTCAGAACATCACAAAGATGCAACAGGCCACTGATGAACAAGTTGAGATTGAAATTGAGACCTCATTTGCAGATAAGCAGCTTTTGGACACAGGCTCAGCCTTTGCCAAACTATTAGAGCAAAGCAATGCTCTGCTAACACCTGGGACAAGTCCCACCCAAATTTCAGCTCCTGTCTCCTTTGCTGAGAGTGGAAGTCGGATACCTGATGTTAGAGTAAGCCAACACTTCACTGCAAAGGATGGACACAAAGACAGAATCAAAAGCCAAGCAGGAAAAAATGGCATAACTCCAACAGTGGCTGCCACCACCATTGCAGCCTATGGAGTTTATGCCAGAGATGCTGTAACTCTTTCCCAAACTGGATCAAGCCACTCTATGACAACTACCCAATCAGAAACCTCACGCAGACACACAGGAAGTCTTGCCACATCATCCGCCACAGTCTCAAGTGTATGTAGCAAGATTGCAGAAATTACTCAGGCTTACAGCCAAAGAGAAGTAATAACCAGAAGGATAGGAGACACAAGAGGTGTTCAAGTGCGAGACAGCTCAACATCATCTGCTGAGAGAGTTATTGAACCACGTTCTCCTAAGTATACAACCTATTACAGGAGCACCAGTCCTCCTCTCTCTCCATCACCACCACCACCGCAAAGTCCTATCCGTTCACCTTCTAGAAAGGCTACTGCTGAGTTCTCCACACAGACCTTCAGCTCAGCACTGAGAATGGAGCCAGCTGGTTCTGGGCCAACATCACCTGTGATAGCTCAGGGAACCCAAACGGCACATCGAACAATTTCCCCACGCCTATATCGACAACAGTCTTCCCAGGAGGCTCCATACTCCCCACCTCCTGTTCCAGCTAGGCCAATGACAGTAAATACTGCAACTTCTCCTTTATCCTCACCTACTCGATTTAGCCGTCAGTCAACTTTTGATAGCTATTCTCCATGTGCAAGCCCCCCAGATACACCACCTTACCAACAATCACCCACACGCAGCTTTTACCGGCCACAAAGAGTGGAGAAGGTAAATGTAGGGACAAGCATGGTTACCACTGCCAGCTTGTACTCCAGAGGGTCTGTTTCTATGGATAATATCTCCCTCTGTAGAATATCTACAGTCCCAGGGACTTCAAGGGTTGAACAGGGCCATATGATTCAAGGTGGTAGTGTTGTAGATCTAAGAACTGCTACCCACTCAGCACCTATTATTATGACTGACCAGGGAATGGATCTTACTTCCTTAGCTACAGAAAGCAGGAAATACCATGGTGGACCAGAAGGCAGCAGGCATTCAACAATCATACAACCCCTAATTATGAATTTAAACACACAGGAGACCACCACACCAACCACTGTGAGTGTCACTGTAGCTGCCTCTATGTTTATGACCCAGCTAAAACAGCCAATGGTTTACGGTGATCCCCATCATAGTCGCATAGATCTAGGCCAGGGCATGGGCTCAGCAGTATGTCTTTCCCAAAACAAATCCCCAATTTCTCCTCCAACTGATCCCTCTATTCCAAAAATCGATGCCAAACTAGAAGATCTTAGCATCCAACAGAGAGAGCTCCAAAAACAACAAGAGAAGCTACAAAAACAGCAGGAGCTCCTTGAACAACAGTTACAACAGCACCATCAGTTGCAACAGCACCAACAACAGGCATCAGTTCTATCCAAGTATAACCTTAGTGGCCAGATCTCACCTTTAACCAAAAAAAATTTGATAGTTAGCCAGACAAGCACTGCGTCTACAGTGGTCAGTGCTGTCTCACCAGTGATTAATCCTGATCTTTATGCCGCTGGTCCTATTGAGCTGAAAGGGAAGTCCAGTCCTCCTGGTTTGATGTCAGGGGGTAAATCCCCACATAGTATGGTTGTACAAATGGATGGGGGACCAGAGCCAGTAAGGGCAGTAACTCAACTTGTGAAGGTAGAAGAAGGACAAGATGCAGTTGATCTCACAGGAGGCCAAATAAAACCTGACCAAACAGCATGCTGTGATGTAGTTTACAGACTGCCATTTGGTGGAAGTTGTGTTGGTGTCTCTGAGAAAGAGGGTATTAGACCGCCATCTGCCCCACCTATTAGTTATGAGTCTGATCATGAACGACAACCTGGAAGGTACCATGAGTACCCAATGGATGCTCGTAAGGCCTACACATTACCTTTCCCTGGAAGGCTTCAGCCTTCGATGTCTGATACAAACCTTGCTGATGCTGGGCTGCAACCTTACAATTCTAAATATGAACCACAACTTCAGCCATCAGGAGAACTTGTCATGGATTTAACCGCTATGAAACAGAGCTATGGAGGATATATGGGTATGCAATATGGTTCCTATACAGACTTACGTCATGGAGGGGAAATTTCAGCGCAAGCACTGCCAATAAGAAGATATAATTCCTTGTCCAACATTAGCTCAGATTATGGTTATTCTGCTCGGGATATTGCAGGCTTCCAAGAAGCTAACTTGGCTCAGTACAGTGCTACAACTGCAAGGGAAATAAGTCGAATGTGTGCAGCACTTAATTCCATGGATCGATATGGAAGCAACCCGGACTTGATGCAGTTTGGAACCTTAGGTAGAGGTACTGGACCAGGAGCCTCCAGATTTGCAGCAGGTATGGGCTTGAGGCAAAGCCTAATATTTGGACTTGATGGTAAACCAATGTCTCAAAATCAAGCTCTAACAAATCTTATTAATGCCAGGCAGGCTAGTCTAAGAGCCATGTACCCTGCTGCTATTAGGTCCTCGGATGGAATGATTTACTCTACTATTCAGACTCCTATTGCCTCAACTCTTCCCATCACCACCCAGCCTGCTTCTGTACTTCGACCTCTACTGAGAGGAGTCTACAGGCCATATGCTTCTCCTAACATGACGCCAGTGCCCCTGGCAAGTCTCACTAGATTGCCAATTAGCCCAAGAATGCCATTGACTGGACAAGTACCACTCCGCTACCCAGCACCAGGTCTGCTTCAGACTACCTCAGTCACTGTCTTTACCACAACTGCTACATCGACTTCAGCACCAGGAGGAGCCCTTGTGCCTGTGTCTTCAACAGCTACTAGCTCAACACTCCAAGAGGAACCTGTTTATCTTGGTAAAGGTGCCAAAGTAACATCAGTAGATGTCACTTCAGTACCAGGAGCTGTGGTGAATTTGTCTGAATCACAGCAGCAACCAATAAATCTGTCCCAGACACATCTGAACACCCAACAGCAACCGATGACAATGGCTCAGCAGCCTCAGCCGCCTCCTGCTGCCCATGCATACCCACCTTCAAGTCCAGCAATAACTCAAGGCTACACCCAATCTGCTGCAGGTCCATCAGTCCCAGCTGGTGGCTTGCCAATTCCATGTGGTCTTCCCCCTTTCCCTCCACCAGGTGCTATGCATAAAGAGGGCGAAACGGAGGCAGAGAGGCTTCACCGTCAACAGGAACAACTCCTACAGATGGAGAGGGAGCGTGTTGAGTTAGAGAAACTTCGTCAGCTGCGACTGCAAGAAGAACTTGAGCGCGAAAGAATGGAGCTAAAGTTACATAGGGAGAAGGAGCAAATTCTGGTGCAGAGGGAATTACAAGAGCTGCAGAACATCAAGGATCAGGTATAAGGAGAATTAGGAAATGTGATTAAGAGTTACACAGTGTTAATGCTTTTTTGTTAGTTTTTGTTTTGTTAGTCATGTTACTTGTGGTATTTTACTGATTTTAAATTTATTTTCATTATTTGAGTGTTTGTCATGCAAAGTGCTCCTATTTTTTCTAATTTATTTGATAAACCAGCAAATGTGTGTATAATGTGTATGCATACTTTTCAGTTCTTTTTAAATTATTTTTCAGTGGATTTTAGTTTTTATTCAAACTGTAACAACCCCTTCAAGTAGTTACTTTATAATTAAAAACTGGTATAACAAAAAAAATCCCCATGTAATAATCCTTGATTAGATGTACTGTATGTCAGGAAAATGTATCTATTCTAAATTTCTAAGTCACTTTAAACTGTGTGATTGCAGTTTTTCTTGAAATGAATCCTTTTACCTAGTGTTACCCCAACATTAACTGGGATCCCTCCGTTATTCTTAATCATGTGTTATAGTGTTTTGAAACTTTAGCAAGATATAGTATGACCACAGAAATATACTGGGACAGCTGAGATTATAGAAGTTGTTTTTTTTGTTTTGTTTTGTTTTTTTAGAATACCATAACATTTTCTTTGCTGATTTAGGACAAATTAAATCTGAAATAACACAGAATACCTTGTCTTACACCAGCTTAGACAGTGTTAAATATTTTCAGGCTACTGTTTCTTCCCCACAATAATACCAAATATAAAACATTAGATATGTCAAGTTAAAAAAGAAATTATTTACCTGGCCGAATAAATAAAATATTTATAAATGCTTTTATTTTTTATATTTGCAAACTAAACTTAGACCCCTTTGTTTTAAAAATATATCCCCCCTTTTTTTATAATTTTTAAAGAACTACAACTAATCCTAATTTCCTGGCATTAATTAATACAATTTTAATTCACACTGTGGAAATGGGATTTAGTCTTTGTGTTTGTATGACTGTTGTATGCATATGTATGTGTTGTATGTCAGTGTTTGTTCTTTATAAAAAAAAAAAAAACAAGCAAGTTTTATGATCAATTTGTTCTGTCAAAAGTTATGTAAATTAGTGATAATTTTAAGAGCATATTTACATTTATTTGTTTCTTTGTTAACAATTTTAAATGTATTAGGAAAAACAACACAAACATCTAACATAAGCATTTTCTTCTCTTTATTAGAACAAGCAGTTGAAACTCTTTCAAGTTAACTCTGTTAAACAGGTGAAACCCACACCCCTCTTAGTGAGAATGAACAAGAAAAGGAATGTTTTATTAATACACATCTCATAACATGCAGTTAAAATTATTACCTAACCCTTTTTCTTGCACCAGTCTATTGTTTGAGCTGTGAAGAAAATGCTTCAAATATTTGATATAAGGCTTTTTATACTGGTAACAATTACCAGCATATGCAGCACTTTGCTTTAGTTGCGCTTCAACTAACTAGGAACCATTCTTATAACTAATCCATCAATACAAGTGCTTCATCTAACATTTGCTTTTAAGAGTCTTGCTTTGCAGTTTTGAGACCTACTTCATGGCCTTTTGTATCCCTCTTCTGTTGTCTATTTTCATTGTTGCACCTACACCTTTATTTTCTTTCATTACTTTTTTCTTTACTCTACATTACTGTTCTTCCAGAACATCCAACATGTTTTTTCTGTGCGTGTTTTGTAGGTATTACAGCAGCAGCAGCAAGAACGCGAGAAACAACTTGTACTCCAAAGGGAGCAGTTGGCCCAGCAGAAATCCCAGTTAGACCAAATACAGTCTCTGCAGCAGCAGCTCCAGCAACAGCTACAAGAGCAGAAGCGGCTTAAGACAGCTGCTCAGACTATACAGGTGAAGGAACTGAACAACATTGGAAGTTGGTTTTTAACCTTTGGGTTTCAGACAAACACTTGTTTTAAAATACTTAATTTACAAAATAATCGCTGTAGAAATTGATAATGACATTAAAGTAACTATGAAGCAGTGGTTTCCAAATGAATTGTGTAAATAGTAAATACAGTAGGATATAAGTTTTATGCTATCATAATATTTTTTCTGTTTTTTTTTTACTGTTTAATTTTTCAATCATGTTGAAGATAAAACAAAACAATGACAGCTTAAACTCTTCTGGGAAGGCGTTTACAATGTTTTGTTGTATGTTTAAGGGATTTCCAACCATATTTCATGGAAAGTCTTAGTGAGGTCAGACTCAAACGTTATATAAAAAAGCCTGGCTCCTGTTGGGTCAGGACTGTTTGGGTCAGCTACAGGTACATATTTTTAATGTCATGCTAGCTCATTTATTTTTAATTGACCACTAGAGCATAGTCGTGTAGGAACAGAAACAGACTGTTCACACAAATTTTTAAAAATATAATTGTTCAAATTGTCTTCGAAGGAAATCATACAGATAAGCCCCACATAATAGTCATTACCCCACCAAAACTATCACTATACAAAAGCCATTCAGGCAAATGGAATTCCACTGAAATCTGCAAAATCCAGACTCCAGTATTGGTTTGCTAGACAGAAAAATATATATTTTTTACTTAAGAGAAATTACACACATTTCTCTACAGTCCAGTTAGTAGACTCCGTGTTTTTTGCTCCTCAGCACTGTCTGACTCCAATTATTGATTTTAAGTGGTCCTCCATTTTGTTCCCAACACTTAGAATGTGTACTTCTTTGTTGTAACACCACTAAAAGTTGACTGCGGAGTATTTAGTTGAAAGAAGATTTTACAGCTGGACTTAATGCACAAACAGTATCCTTTCACAGTACTTTACTAGATTTCAGCAAACTTTTCTTTCACAAATGTTTTTTAGAAGCCACCTGCAGGGCCTGGTAATGTTTACACATGTGATCATTTAAGTGGTTTGAAGACCTGAATTCAACGATATTTTTGCTATATTCTATCTGAAGATTACTTTTCCATATACCAGTTTTTTTTAATTTTTTGCAATGACAATGACTTTGATGACTGGGAATCCTCAGCATATTTTTCCATATCTTCTTAATGGACATAGATATTGAGAACAGAGCCAGATATTTTGGATGTAATTTTGCAAGTGACGTTTTTAGTGTTGCTTGTGAGTATTTTCTTTAAATAGTGTTTACTGGTTGCATTTATTTGTGGGAATCATAATATCAGGAAAGAGAAAAAGTCAAAACCCTTTTGGTAATGAGTGATTGTTGACATCTCTAATCCATTCACATTTCTCAACAGCTGGATATGACAGGACAGCCACTGCATCCCTACATAGACTCTCAGATGAGCTCTCGCTCCCTCCCCAACTCTTCCTCAGAGATATGTCTAAGGAGTCAAGATGAACAGATGGAAGCCAGAGCTGGTATGAGGAAACATAGCTCCTTGAGCAGGCTGACCCGCGACACAACTGATGGAGATGGTGTGGTTTTCTATGGCTCCCCTCGCAGAATTGTGGATAGTTGTGTACAGACTGATGACGAAGATGGAGAGGAGAGGTAACAATTTTACTTTGCTTTTGAAGTGAGAGATGGAACACTCTCCTGGGCTATGAGTATGTAGGTGGTATAATGTAACAATGAAGTGCATCCAACCTCCCAACCTCACATTTTCATCCAGCTGTAGTGGGAAGATTGTCGTCTTCCACAAGCAAACATACTTAATACCCATATTGCACCTTGTGTGTCGATGACTGAAGACGGTGTGCCATTTTAAGTCATTTATGATTTTCCGTCCTTCACATCTACTGTAATGCAGTACACACAATATGACCTGATGCAGAAATAGATACCAATATAATTTGGACATCTCAAAAATTCAATACCAGAGTATTGCAACTTTAAGATACCACACAAAAAGCCCATTGACTCTATTTCAACGGTATCAACAAAACAACTACATCGGTTTCACTTCAGATGCCCAATAATATCATTACTTGATCTCATCCATTAGAATGCAGGCACTCTATCTGCACCATAATTTGAAAAATAAACCGTGATTTGTCATTGCTGCCACAGTTAATTGAGGAGGTAATTTGTTACTCAGTGTCATACATAGTGTTCATACATAGCAGATTGTATGACTAGTGTTACATCTAAGGAGCGTACACTGACTCGAGCATAAATGCTTATGGATTTTTCTCTACAACACCAGGTACATGATGCGTCATCGCACCAGGAGGCGCGGTCGCAGCGTTGACTGCTCCGTTCAAACAGATGACGACGAGGATAAGGCTGAAACAGAGCATCCGGTTCGCAGAAGACGCTCTCGGTTCTCCCGCCACACTGAATCCGCTGCAACTGGCACGAGCACTGCTTCGACTACCACCTCAGCAACAGACACCAAAGCTGAATCATCCAAGATAGTTTCCTCCAGCATTGCAGTCCAGACCATCAGGGAAGTGTCCTGTCAGACAGAAGTTGAGCACCTAGGAAGAGTCTCCCCAGCAATTCATGTGACATTACCAGACCCCAATAAAGTCGAGATTGTGCACTACATCTCTGGACCAGAGCGAACTCAAAAAGGACAATCTCTTGCCTGCCAGACTGACCCAGAGGGGCAGTCACAGGGTGTTGTAGCTCCACAGCTCAGTGTGCCAACTACGGTCAGTCCATATTCTTCCTCTACCAGTACCGGAACATTACCATCTAGTTCCACTGACCTTCACAACCAGCAGCGCCAGCAGCAACATGTGGCAGCAAATGCAGCAAAATTTGAGCGGCGCCGACCCGACCCATTAGACATTAACTACCAGCCTCACAACCACCTCCACAACGAGTCCATTTCCAGCATCATCAGGCAGCAGCAGACTGCTCCAAAATCTCCACAAGTCCTCTACTCCCCTGTCTCACCGGTGTCTCCACACCGTCTGCTGGAGACCTCTCTGTCAAGTGACAGACTAAACAAGGCCCACGTCACTCCTCAGCAGAAGTCTTACACAGCCGAATCTCCCCAGCGACACCCATCTGTGCCCCGACCTATCAAAAGCACGCATAGGTCGATGTCTGACCCCAAATCCCTCAGTCCGACCACAGAGGAGCATGCCAAGGCCAGACTGTCCCTCTATCAACAACAAGCTCTCCAGAACCAGGTAAAGTTACTTAAACTGATCTGATGCTCTGAAAAACAGCAGGATTAACTCCTAAAAAATTATTAGATGAGAAATCTTACTCATATGCTTTTATAGGGAAAAATATCCTTATATTTAATGTTTTGGGACTTCATCAGGTTTTTAAAGAACTGACTTACTGCATTTGGTTTTAGATGGCAGTTTATTTACGAGTATATCAGCCTAGTTTTTCTATCATTTCAAGTCAGTTCCAATTATGAACTAACAAAATGGGGACATCGCTTGGGATCAAAAATCAATATTTTTGGGTCTTGATTCTCTCTACATGTAGACTAAAAACCAACTAAATTCTTTAAAAATCAGACAATGGGATTTTCTGGATTTTTTTTTTTCTCATTTTGTCTCTCATAGTTGAGGTATATCTATGATGAAAATTACCGGCCTCTCTCATCTTTTTAAGTGGGAGAACTTGCACTATTTTTGGCTGACTAAATACTTTTTTGCCCCACTGTAAATCTGTACAGCACAGAATTGTATGACAGCTAACACTAATTTTCTTCTTTATGTATGTCTTCTAACACAAACTTCACTCTTGTTTCCTGTTGTCTTTGTCTGTTTGTCTATATGTGTCTCCTTTGTCAACCTTGTTTTCTTGTTGCATCCTTTCTTTGATTCCTCTATTTCTTGACCCTTTTCTTCATTTGAGGTTTCCTCCTTTCTTTTTCTTTCACTTTTTTGAAAAATGTCTGTGCATATTTCTCTTTTTATCCGCACCATGCTTCCTTACTCATAAAATTGGCTAAAACATTCTTGGATCTGTTTTCTTTTGTATAAATTCTGATTTTACTTTTTTTTTTATTTCTTTTCTTTATTTGGTACCTCTTTTACCTCTCATTTTTTCCAAACTTTATTCCAATTCTCTTAACATGGTTTATTTAATTTTGCTTCCTTATTTAATTTCTCATCTTGCTGCTTTGTGTCCCTTCTCTTGTATTTTGTTTTTTTTTATCATCCATCAACCATTCTCTATTAATGGGAAAAACCTGTTATTCATGATTTTCTTTATTCCTCAATTAACTTTCTCACGGTTGTATCTCATCAACTTTTCCCTGACCATGCTGTTATTTTCCCTTCAAATGCTGTCCATGTTTTTTTACCCTCCACACATTTTCCCACTTTTCCTTCCCCTTCTTGCCTTTCTCTCTCTCTCTCTCCAGCTTGCAGCCTTGCAGCAGAGCTCTTTGCTTCGGAAGGTGAAGCGAACCCTGCCCAGCCCTCCTCCAGATGAGACTGCTACCTCAGCTCACTTGACCATGATGACACCTGCCCAACAACAGATCTACCTGTCCTCTGTGCCCAGCCTCAAGCCCAGCTCAAGGTCTGGCCTAGCCGCTAAAGCCAGCCTCCTCAAAGATCTCACCCACGAGCTGAAGGCTGTGGAGCAAGAGTCTACCAAGCTTAGAAAGCAACAAGCTGAACTGGAGGAGGAAGAGAAAGAGATTGATGCTAAACTGAGATACTTAGAACTGGGAATTCATCAGAGAAAAGAGACTTTGGTGAAGGAGAGAGAAAGAAGGGATATTGCCTACCTGAGATGTATGGGTGATACCAGAGACTATATGTCTGACAGTGAGTTGAATAACTTGCGTTTAGCAGCTGCTGCTGCATCACATGAGACAAATGGGCTACTAACAACCAGACCAAGCACTGCTCCACTAAGCCAGTTTACCAGTGACCTAAATACAGCAGCTCAGTACCCACCAACCTCATCTTTCCTCTCCTGTCAATATCCCCAGAGTCAACCAGCAGCACCATCCCAGCAATCAAGTTTGTCATACCAGTCATCTACATTCAATCAGCCTCCTTACCCAACGGTGTCACAGTCACAGGCACTGCCACAGCCCATGACCCTTCAGAGCCATGCCCCTCCTCCTGGACCTACCTATCAACCTCAAACATCCTATCCCTCTCACACCTACCCACAAGCTCAGCCCCCATACCCCCAAACAGATTTGGGGTTACCATCTGCGCCTCAACCTCAGCCTCCAGCTGGGCCTACGGGTTTTGGTCATGCACCACCTGGACAGCCACCATACCCCACCCACAGCTCACCTTATCCCAGTGCTGTGTCCCCCTACCCCACCCAAACGACCCCATACCCTGGGCAGCCCCAAGCTGATATCCTGACAGTTCACCCTGGAAGACCTAGACAGACATCACTTGCTGAACTTGAGCATAAGATGCCAACCAACTATGAGACTATCAGCAACCCAACAGTTGTGGTCACTACTACAGCCCAAGATGCTACGTTTTCATGTGCAGCCCCAGCCTATGGCCCATACACAGGAACAACAACTCTGGCAAGCTCCTATGGGCCATATGGATCTGCAACTGTTTCTAACAGTTATAGTGGTTACTCCACTGTGCCTCCAAGCACTTATGGTCCATATACAACAACACCAGCTGGTTCATATGGCCAGTACACAACAACTACGGCTAATACATATGGCTACACAACTACCACAGCCAGTTCTTATGGACAATATACTTCAACTGTTTCCAATGCCTATGGGCACCCTGTAGATAGTCCTTCGACATACAGCACAGCAGAAGGGATGTACGGAGCTCCTGGTTTAGAACAAAACATTCCAAGAAACTATATGATGATTGATGACGTAAGCGAGCTGACGGCAAAGGATGGGCTGGGCACGACAGCAGGGGACATGATGCATCATGGCAGTAGCGGGCGTTACCCCGGTGACATCCATGGCCATAGCAGCACAACTGGCAGTACGACGCGTGGGGGAACTGGCAGCTCCCCCTACGGCAGGGCACCTGAGGAGGAAGCAGCGATGCAGGATGAGCTGTACGACCACCACGGCAGGGGTAAGAGCAGCTACAGGCATGGACCTCTAGGGGGCAGCAGCAGCGTGAGCGCTAGCTTGGGTGGGGGATCCCCCTATTTCTATGACTACGACTACAAACTTACTGGCATCCGCTCCGGGGTACAAAAATCTTTGGCATCCTCCAGAAGCCTTCTCGCTCCTGCTGTCATGTCCTCCAAGCGCAGCAGCAAGCACAGGAAGTTGGGGACTATGGAGCAGAAAATTTCAAAGTTTTCCCCCATAGAGGAGGCTCGAGATGTGGAAGCAGATCTGGCCTCCTATTCTACAGGTGAGGCTTACCCCTCATCCCACGTTCGAGGGCGACAGCTGATTGAGGATTATGGCTTCAAAAGGAGTGCTTTCAATGGCACCAGTGGCACAACTCATGGAAGTCGATACTATGGTATGACTGTGGATGAGGACGATCGGATTTACTACACTTCCTCTGGCCGCTCCCGTTCCCATGGCTATGGCATGGACAAGATCTCAGCCAGAGATTATCATAATTATCGAAGCAGATCCTACGAGAGAGATGACCGTTCCTACCCTTCTGGCTACAGAGGACGCCATCCAACTCGGCAGTACTCTGAGGAGGAGAATCCATTCAGCCCTTTAGGGAAATTGACGAGTTCTGGGAGATCTTCAAGCTTAGGTCGTGACCCGTATGACAGTCACAACAGTAGATATTATTACTATTATGGCAATTATGGTTCCAGTCACTCGCTGCCAGATGTTCAAGACCATATAAGGGACCTTCCACGGACACATGTCTACAAATCGGATGATACGTACATTATTGATGATTATCATTGTGCGGTATCGGACAGTGAAGGTAATTGTGGGAGCTACATTCCCACAGTCTCACTACCTACTACTGCTCCCACCGTTTATCTAAACGTCCCCCACCCACCCAGAAGCTAGGTTTAGAGATATGACAAAAAAGCAAAGGACACAGATAGCCGTTGCATGCCAGTATTTTCGTCATCCAGAGAGTTACTTGGAAACTCTGAGTCGTGGACTGCTGTCTGTCTGTGCCTGTCTGTCCGTCCTTCCGCCTGTTCGTCCAGTCGTTTCTTTATCCGACACTCGCATGGTTCTTCAGCGTGGTCGTCTTTGTCTTCACAACTCTGACTGACTTGAGAGGTCTTTGCACGATGGCAATATTTTTTCTTCAACAAGTTATTGGCTCTGTTGTGTTGTTAATGGGTTTTTTATTATTTAAGAGATATATGTCAACACTGCAAAAATTTTGTCTAAACAAAATGTTCTATCTAGAATCAAAATTGAACCTTGAATGCTTTATTTCAGTCTTCCATCAACACTAACTATGCAAGGAGAAAGATCCAAACTACTGGAAAGTTCTTTCTTGCATTCAGTTAGCAGCTAAATCTTAAAACAAACTTCTTGTCTACCTGACAGTTTTGCAGTGTTTATGATGTCATGTTTAACTTGTGTTGTATTCTGTGCAGTAAATATGTGCATGAGTGTAAAACTTTACTTTTTGCCTTTCTTTCTGTGTCTTCCCCTACCTACTTTCTTTTTGCATGCGGTTTGTCTTCCTTTTGCCCTTTTCCTTCTTACAGCCTGCATGCCGCTCTCTCCAAACGACATGGAGATTGATTGTGATCTGCTCTCGGTTTCCAAAGCCTACCATCTGGGCCAGGAAGAAACTGACTGGTTTGAGAAACCACGCTCCAGTTCTCGACACTACGGCAGCAGCCACTCTGGAAGGAGTCGGCATGGTATAAAGCACACCTACCATGATTATGATGAACCTCCTGAGGAGGATCTGTGGCCGCAGGATGAGTACAGTCATGGCGGTCGGCACTCATCATCACGTGACCACAGGCACCATGGCAGTTCTAGCCGCCACTCTTCCACCCGTCACTCAGATGAGCCGAGATCCTCAAGGTCATCTAAGGGGCATCCGAAAGATCCATCTATGCGCCATGACCCCTCAGGACGTTCTTCATCATCAGGAAGGCGTGGTGAGTCCAGGTCTGGAGGGTATCACTCTTCAGACTACTCCAGGGATCCTTCTGGACATCATCATGGCCAAAGATCTTCAAGGCAGGGAGATCCACACAGGTCCTCACGCAGCAAGTCCCAGGGCCAAGTAGACATGCAGGGACAACAACCAGGTAAATCTTTAAATCTGCTAATTTCAGTCAACTTGATTATATTAGATTGAGCAAGCAAGCACTTGCTCAATGCAGAACAGCTCAGCAATCAGGAAGAGAGGGGCAGAGGAGCAAAAACATCAAGCAGCTTAACTTTCTTTAAGCTGTTTGTAGCAAAGTGTTTTTATATCGACCAGATTTTGGCCGATCTCAATTAATGATTAAAATCGGCCTCATTAATCAGTCTGGCTCTAATTTTGGTTCTGATATGTGCTGCTGATTTTCGGGGCTGATTATTTAAGCCCATATTGCCTTTTTTAACTCCACTGCTTTTTCATCTTCCATATACGTAATAATGACACAATGATTCAATGATTCATGATGATGAAATAGGTAAGCCAAAACCTTAAACCAATGAAAAAAACATTTTATTGGTGGGTTTCCAGAGGGAATAGCAATGCAGGTCCCTCAAGACATGATTGCTAAATGCACAATTAAATCAGCCAATGCATGAATGTATTGCCCAATATTGATCCAAGAAAAAAACTCCAATATCAGCCAAAAATACCCGCTGGTTGATGCGTCAGTCTATCTCTAATTCTTTTCTTTCCATTATATTTATGTGTTTTTCATATCTCACAGTTCATTTTTAAGGTCCCATTTGGAAGTATGATCTCTCAGTGTCTATTTTATTTCAGACTTTCTTTGCTTGACAAAATCTCTTACTTGTACTCATTATCTTCTGCTTTATCTGGGACTGGGTGGAATGGGCAGCATTCTCAGCTGGGACAGTTGACTTCCCTTGCTTTAGAGATCTATGCCAGCTTCTCTTAGAGAATGATGTCCAGGGTGTTCTGGGAGCTTCAAGGGGGCATCTACAACAGATTCTCAAGCCACCTCAATTGATTCTTTCAGATGTGAAGGAGCAGCAGCTCCATCTCAAACAGCTCTTTGATGGCCAAGCTCCTCACCCTATCTCTAAGGGATTGCCAAGCCACCCTGCAGAGGAAGCTCTATTCAGCCAATGATATTTTGATCTTGTTCTTTAAGTCATGACCCTGATATCATGTTTAATGATTAAGTTAGGAGAAGCAAACAGCAAATTGAGGGCTTCATCTTTAGTCTTTGTGCCTGCGTTACAGGGGCAGCGGCACTGATTTGTCCGATCTGATACTTGACCTTCTCCACTTAAGGCAGGAAACCCCAAATTAAGAGCATAATTTGATGCGTATAATATCATCAAGAAGACTAACCTCAGCAAAATGTATTGCAATTAAAGCACAAAATATATATAAAAGAGGTGCATGTAAACCACAATATGCTCCTTAATGTTTTATCTCTCAGTTTAATCCTATAGGTCTTACAATGAGAAATTTTGAATTCAGAAATCCCAAATGCATAAGCAAATACATTGCAGGACCCAGGATCCCATGATAATACCCTATTTATGATTTAAGAGGACAAAATGACCATAAAGGGGGGTTATTGGCTGCAGTTTTATTTTATAACTAAAATGGGCTACAGAATCCATTGGACTGCTTTGTACCATAACATTTAAGCGCCCTCCTGCAAAATTTGTTTTGGTTTGTTTTTATGTTAACATCTGGTGTATAATTCCGTCATCTTTTTATAGAATAAAGAGAACATTAAATATGAAGAGGTCTTTGAAGATAATGTACACCCTAAAATCCCTCTTGCCAAGAAAATCTAAAGTACAAAAGGCCAGAAAATCTTGCAAACATTGAAAAATAAGATATGCTTCTTCACACTTTCTCTCAAAAGTGCAACTATTGCTTTAAAAGCCTCTAAGTTGCTGTATACCATCTTTAGGGTATCCCATTGTTTTGTTTTTGTAAAAAAAACTGCTTGAGGGCTTATCATTTCTTAAAAATGCAAGCCCTGTTAAATTAGGTAATTGCAATAGAATATGTGTAAAAACAAGAAACAGAAGAGAACTGATTACAATTCCTTGACATTTTGACTTTTTTGACAAACCAATCAGAATACATGGGAATATGTAAATCTATATATAGCCTTTTCCCGGATGCTTACAATCTAGAACAGCCACCAAAGTTAACACTTTTCCAAGACTAACTTCATGAGGTTAGGAAGTAGATTACTGTAGGAAAAACCTTTAAAAACTCTGCCTTATTGTTGACAATACTGGATAGATAAGAAAATAAATCATGCTAGAACCAATGCACAGAGAAGACCTTTGCAGTGTTTTGAATGTGCTATGATCTGCTCTCTGATCCTAGAAAAGGTCCATGTTCTAAAGTAATATTTAGTAAATTTTACTTTTCAGGTTAAATGTGTTTCCTCTATCCCCCAGAGATCAATACTTTTTAATTAACAATATTGAGTATAACATTCTGTTTATGCTGAAGGCAGCATCATGGACATGTTCTTTAGCAGGTTAGTGCTTATTGTATTCCTAGACCTGCTGCTTTTGCTCATTTGCTTATGATATAAGTAAAATAAACCCTATACTATCCATGAAATGTTGCTTTAGTTTGGCAAGAGAAAGCCTCACAAAGTGATTTTTTATTGATTTATTCTGGGGTAGGTGTACAGTGCCACTTGTAGTTGCAGCTCCTGAAGGAAGTAGCCTAAAGGACTTAAATGAATATGGCTATTCTGTAAAAGCCTTGGAGCATTTAAAAAAAATTATTCGACAAACATTATAGAGACGAAGGAAGGTTCTGAAGAATGATGCGCAAAACATTACTGATATCGGATATTACTGCAGGGTTGTTTTTATAAAAGAAATATGCAGAACATTTTGCGATATCTTACTGTGCAGGGTTAAACAAGAATAGCAACAAGCCTATGAAATCTTTGGAGTAGGTGCAGAAATCCACTGCTCAGTTTAAACAATCGGTTGACTGGATTACATTAGTTGTACATCTAAGAAATCTGTGCCCATATTCACCAAGATTTTCAGTTGTCTCAGAGCGCTCCTATACCGGCCTAAAAAATCCTGCCAGTGGTGCAGCTGAGAAGCAAGAAGACCTCAGGTTTTCTTTATCTCACTATGAAAGCATAACTGACCCTATTGCTGTGTGTAAAGCTGTCTTCTAAGAGTTGTGATTCGTTAATACAAGAAACAAAAACATCTAAAGAAAAATGCACTCTTAAAGATGAATTAACAAATTGTAGAATTTATGCAGTATCAACAAATCTTTCCCATGATATTAAAACTTAGCCAAATTAAATTGTCATAAATTATCAAAATGTTTGAATGTACTTTTGTTTCATCCTCATTATTTTCTCCTTTATGTTTTCTCCCCTTGTTGGTTATTTCACTAGTTCATGCATTTGAGATTAAGATGCATTGACCTGTCAGTATTGTACTTTAAGTGCCTTCTGGTTTAAAGCCATTAAATTGGCAAATTGGTGGAGGTGGAGAAAACTGAAATGAAAAGAGACCTCAGAGCACAGCACTGTCTGGTAATAGAATAGAAGAGTGTTAAAGAATAAAGTGGTCCAGGGATCATGATGCGGAAAACAAGGCGTTTGAGGCACATTTCTGAGCACATGTGGCAATTTCTCTGTGTTGGTATGCCTGCCTGAAATGAGAAAAACTACTTTCCAAAAATAAAGAAGCCAGAGAGGATATGGCATTGCACATCTATTTTTTAGATGATCATTGAGGCTAGTTGACTGACTGACTGACTGACTGACTGACTGACTGACTGACTGACTGACTGACTGATTGATCAACTTCAACGAAATAGTGACAATATAATGTACTTTTTTTAATCTATCTTCCTTCTGTGTAGGCTTTACTATATTTTGTATATCAATGTACTTCAGTTTTTGTGTAATTATGCTATTTTTTTATGTGACTTTTACCAATTATCTTAAAATGTCCATAAATAAGAGAATTTTCTATTATATGGTTAAAATTCTTTAGTATCATATATATTGTATTGCATGTTCTACTTTTGTACATGCGATTTTTTAATGATTTTTATCATCGTTCATTGGTCTCTAATAAAATGACATCAAAACAGCTGCACCTTTAAACTGTGCGGGCGCTGGAATTTATTCCCTCCTATGGGGATTGTTAAGTTTCTTGTCTGAGTATTATCAATGGCAGGATTGGTAACGAAGGTGTCCTTATTTTTCTACTATTTAGGTTGTGGATTGGCCAAATAGCTTTCTCTGTTGCAACAATCATCTCTGCCTAAAATACTCTTACAGTGACTTAAAGTCCTCCTCCCTCATACTTTTTACATTTTATCTTTTTAAGAGCTCTGTTCAGGCTCAAGGTGCTTTTTAAATAGCTTTAGTCTTATCGAACAAAAACATTAAGATAATGAGAAAATCTACAATTTTGTCTAAAATGACGTCACTAAGAGCTACTTTTAGTCTTAACACTTTGTGAATCAGGATCCTGGTCCTTAGAAATGTTTTTTTTCCCAGGGATTCTAGGAAAAAATTTTATTTATTCCAAATTGAGAATCTTTTTCACTTCCTTTCACTTCACAATCATGGAATATGTTTTGTTTAGCTTGAAATCCAAATGAAAAGTAATATTTCTACTGACTTGATAAGTAAGACATAGACCATCTTTTTGGTGTTCGATTTTTGAATTTATTTACTCTTTTTATAGTAAGAGGAATCAGTTTCTGAGTAGGTTTGCTTTAAAGAAAATCTACTTTTTTACCTCTATATAGGCTCCAGGTCTGGCAGTGGTTCTGGGAGAGCTCAGGGCTCTGCTGGTGGGCCCCCAGGATCAGGACGACAGGGAGGCCCCGGGTCCCAGTCAGATGGGACCCAAGGACAGAGGACTCAGCTCCAACAACAGGCCCAGACATCTGCAGTCAGACCAGGACAACCTGGTACAACAGCAACCACAGGCCTCCAGCAGCAGACCCCAACCCAAGGTCAAGGCATGGGCATGGGCATGGGAATGGGTCAGGCCCAGGCAAAGCCGGGACAAATGGGACCAGCTGGCGGGCCCATGGGGCAGGCTAGGCCAACCGGTGCAGCAGGAGCCACACCGTCAACTATGGTGAGTAGTACAAAGAAAAAGTAGTCAAATGCACAATTCTCACTTTTGAACATAGTTAGCTTTTTCCCGTCATTTATTGTTTTCCAGGGGAGTTACAACAAACAGAATGTTGTGTCTAATCACCTTTGATGAGTTTTTGTTAAAGCGTTGGCCTGTTAAAAAATGTTTAAACAACTTCATCTTCTTTTTTGTTACTATGAAGGCTGTAAGAATAGAATAAAAAAGTTTATTTATAAATGACACTGGATGGTAAAAGCGACCTCGGAGTATAGGGTAAGCAGTTGCTGTAAAGGTTGAAAGTAATGTAGGTAAAAAAGCAAACTTGGGTTTACTCAGTCCAACCTTCCTGTTATCAGCTGAAAGTATGCTTCTCTCTCACGGGTCGGATGAACTTCTCAAATAACTCAACATGCAAAAAATTGTTTCTTTTTAGAATACCTTTTTCCAGCTCTGTGCTTTCCTAGTCTCATTCAAAGCACTGCGCTGATAGAGAAAATCGTTGTGTCTTAGTAAGTCAAAGCTTTGAAGCGTCGAAGTAGGTTATTGTCAAACAATCTTTTGAAATCAATAATGCAATTTTTATTTGAAAATAAAAGAAAACTTTTCTTATATGAAGTAGGTTTTTTTGCAAGCTTAAATTACTTGTATTTGTTATTTAATAAGGTATATACATTTTTTCTTGCCATCTGATATAGAAAACTATTTATCTTCAGTCATTCACTCCTAAATTTTAGTCTGCTAATGTTTTTCCCCTTTTTCTGTCCTTCTGTTTGTCACTATGTTGCCTTCGAAAAGCGTTTTTGCAGACCACACCCTGTCCTCTTTCAGAGTTTATTGAAATTCTGATGTGCGTCTGCTGGCAGGCCTTATCTAACACCTTCATTAACACAGAGGAAGCTGATAACCAATGGGGCTGATTCACTGTCTGCTAGACGCCCAAGAAACTGGCGCTTAAAGATTTGCTAAAATCTATTCCTGTCTTTAATCCATCAACCCTTTTAAAACAATTTCTCAGGAGAAGCGTGAGGTTGTGATGATAGTCATTGATTTTAGCTTCAGTAGGTGATCATATGAATGTGTTCTGTTCACAGAAGGCCATGTTAGTTCTTACCAATCCAAAAATAGTCATGATGTGGTTCCACCACTAAATCTTGTATTTTTCATTTCATTTTATGCTTGAATTTTAGATGAAAATGGCCCAAAAGTTTAGACAGAAAACTCATCCTTCCATTTTCCATCATGCTTATCTTAAGCGGGGTAGTGAGGGGTGCTGGTGTCTATCTCCAGCGGTCCACGGGCGAGAGGCAGGGTACACCCTGGACAGGTTGCCAGTCCATCGCAGGGCAACACAGAAACAAACAGGACAAACAATCATTCATGCACACACTCACACCTAAGGAGTATTTAGAGAAGCCAATTAAACTTACAGTCATGTTGCTTTTGGACTGTGGGAGGAAGGCGGAGTACCCAGAGAGATAGACAGGAAACCAAAATCCTAAAATAGGATTTTTTATTTAGATTTAAGAATATGTAAAATTGTATTTCTCTTTTGGGTCTGTAAAGTATTTTTAAATGAATTGCATTTATTGATAATTCGGTAAAGTAGCTGTATTAAATTAAAACTCTTTATGCTGCAAATTGCCTTATAGGGCTTCACAAATGAGGTGCCACTGCCTGCAACACCTCAAGATTAATGGCAAATTTGGCAATTATTTTTTTTTACATTCTTTTCAGCCATTTTCCCAGATTATCCACATTTTTAAGTGTGTGTTTTTAAGTGTGTTTCTTCAGTTACATTATTGTGGTTCACAAAAGCAAACATGCTGCAAAAAACCAAAACACCCCACAGACACAAGTAATACAAACTCTTAAAACACATAAGAACCAAAACCAAGTGCAACAAAAATATTATAGAAATACAGAAAATAGGAGCAAAAGGAAAGTGCTAGAAAAAAATCTAAATCTAAGTAAGTCATTTTGTCTTAAATTGAGTGCATTTGTTCATGAATTGAGAAGGTAAGTGAGATACTTTGCCAATGGAACAAGAAAATTTGGATTTAAAATATAAAACAATTGTATTGTCTTATTTTAGGTCTATATTATCTAATTATCTTATTTTAGGAAAAGAAATACTCATTCCATTTACAGATAATCTTATCTACATATTCAAAGGTAAATACACTTAATTTAAGAGATATTGACTTATTTCAAGATTGTTTTTGCAGTGAAGCTCACCATTAAAAGAACAAGCGTACCATTCGATTAGTTCAAAATGGTAAGATACGATGTGATACTTGAGCCAAAGCGGACATGCGTGTAAGTGGTGTCCGGATAGGGTTGGCATTGAGGAAGAAGCTAAAAGAGGAAGCCAATACGATATTCCTTTGCACAGCATAGGAGCTATAAGGTTTCCCATGGTTCTTTGTGTGACAGTATGCATAGGAACGTACTGTATAGGGTAAAGTATTACAACCACTTATTTAAAAAAAGATTAAACTTTTCTGTCTTTCATCAAACTATTTTTTAAAGATCGCATTAATGGACTGATGGTCTTAGATAAAGTTTACAGCTTATTTTTTTTCTCATTTATATTATTATATTCAGCATCTTTTGCTTTTCTCGCATTTTCTGGGATTGCAGCATTTTTCCTTGCAGGGTTTTTCTTTTGCATTCTTTTTTGCCTTGATGTGTTTGCATCAGTCATTATGTATGTCCATTAGCTGCACATTTGTATATCAGCCGCCATAGTATGTCTCCTGCATCATTACACATATACGATGGAGGATGGAAAAAAACATCATTGACAGTCATGCTGTATAGATAGATTTTTATGTGATGTAAAATAAGGTCAGTACTGACTCAGGCCCACATCATTTTATGGGATCAAAAATTAGCACTACAGTTTTAAAATAATTTGATATTTAATATGTCTAAACAAAATGTATAAAGTTGAGGACAACTTTCCTGTGCACTTGAAAGGCACCATTAAATAAAATTCAACTTATGATCTCTTATTGTTGCATAATTTGGATTGTAAAGTGTGAGCAAACGGTTGTGCAACATTTTGACCATTTTGATTCTGTTTTTATTAAGCTGCCAGCTGCCATGACATTTGTAGAAAAGCAGAAGAGAAGATAGAAAGTAGATTTTTTTTTAACTAATTTGGCCCAAATGCTGTATTTTGCTGTAAAAAACCTCTCCGGTTAAAGATGGAGGTTATAACTCTTACTGTCTGTTTATTATTTTTCCAGCTGTAATTTGATTTCTTTCAAAAAATAAAGTTGTCCTTTTCTATATTTGATATCTAGATAACATTTTTTTAGGCGCTATGGTAAATTCTGTACAATAATTATTCAAATTAGTCTTAGAATCTGGGAGATCTGATATTTCACAGCCGAAATGTTAGAGTGACACTAAACAGCCATGAGACTCCTCATCCATGCAAGTCAGTTTTCAGTGCGCTTTGACAGCTCGATAAAAGAATGTCTTTCTCTCCTCTCTGCTGTGTCCGATTCCGTTTTTTTTATTATTATTATTTCTTTCTGTCTTGTGTTGTCATTGTCTAATTACTGTCTTGCTGTCTTATTCAGGTTTTTGTGATAGCAGATGAATACTGGATCCCTATGATTTCCATCTGTCACCCACATCCAGATTACATAACACTCCTTCTCTCCTATAGTCCTCCATATAAGAGGTATTTGTGGTTAAATGGAGCTAAATGCAGCTAAATTTGTCTTTCCTTCCATCTACAGATGAAGATCGACACACCTCCAGCGACAGCGATTGGGGCGAAAGCGGCGCCTGTCATGGCCTCAAAAGCCGGCCAGCCCCCACTTACAGGCATAGGTGATTATTAATCACAACACAGACCGACACACATTCCCACGATACAGCTTATGTTATCCATTATGTGGTAGATTGGTAGATGCTTTGCTTAGTAAATTTGCATAAATTATTATTTGGTAGCAAACACCCTTATGTATCACATAAATAACAGTAACAAATTAACAAATTCAATTCAATTCAGATGTTATTTTATGTCAACTGAATGGTTATTAGACTCAAGAGTTAGGCTAATCTCACAATGGGGATTATATTAAACTAAAACTTGAACATCATTTAAAAGGCACCATTAAATGTTTGATTTTTTTTTAATCAGTAAATAAAAAAATGTATTTCTTACCTATTAAAGTCAACTTAACACCTTTAAAAGTTATCAAGTATTGAAATGTTTTGAGCCCCAAATAAATCATGATATATAGATGTGGGAATATTCCCCAGCAATCCCAAGTAAAGATACTGTATCTGTAAAATCTGTATTTTTCTGACACCTTTAAACTACAGCTTTGACTTGCTTTTTTATGAACAGCGCACACAAGCACAGGCAAGCAAGATCCTCTTAAGATGATTAATTAAAACACTTTTATCAATAATTAATAATGCACAATAAACTAATCCTTTAAAATTCTGCAATACTTTCTGAAACATATAAACATTTGTACATAGAGGAGAATGTACAAAGGGTACATTGGAGAATTACAATGATCTCCTGTTTGATAAAAAAAAAAATAGGACACTATGATAAATCATTTTCCCCTGAAGTGTAAACAAACAGCCCTGTTATTCTCTAATCTGTTTCAACCATTTTCATTTTATTTTCTGGTCCAACGATGTGCCATATTCAGTAAATAATACACAGCCTCCACTTTCACCACCACTGAACCCTTCCTACTCGGGTCGTCCTCTGTCCCTTGTCTCTACCTTTATTATTTCTGCCCCTCATCCTCTGTCTTTCTGTTCAGGCTCTAAAGCGGCTCCTAGACCCGGGGGTATCGGCAGTGCAGCAGCAGGTCAGCCTGGCATGGAGGGGGAAGGCATGTTTTCCAAGATCCTGCCTGGAAGCGCTGCTGAGCAGGCCGGCAAACTGGGAGAAGGTATGACAAACAAACCGGGGGTTTTTTATGGTGTTTTTTCTTATTTATCCTAATGGTTATGCTCTAAGACATGTTAAATTAAGTGGAGGAAATTTGCCTTAGAAAATATATATTTTTTACAGAGAAACTAGTTAAACAACAGTAACAAAACAAGAACAGTCTGCTTTTCAAACTGCGTATCTGAAAAGATTACAATTTGCAAAAGGCTCAAGACTAAAAGAACCAAAACTATATGTGTGATGTGGTTCTAAGTATAAAAAAATGAAGTGTGTTTAATTACTCTTCAATTCCATATAAGAGGAAAATGCATCACTTCTATAGGCTATATATATAGCCTATATATATGTATATTGTATTGTATATTTATGCTAATAAAGGGTGTAAAATGAAGAGCCTGCTGCTGTGTCAAAACACAGAGGACTACGTTTTCCATGATATCACATTTAAAAAAAATATTTTTAATAATGATCATTTCACCATTTGGGGAAGAAAGTATACTCCTGTAGCATCATCAGCTACCAAGTGGTCAGCGGTGTCATTAAAAACCAGTGATACAGCATTAAAAGAGGAACAGAGAGAGAAGTTCAATCTAAAAAAGTCACACGGAAAGAAAAACACAATTAGAATCATTTAAACGACACAATTATTTTAAGACTTTGGCGCTCAGACCTCTGCAGGAAACATTAGCGCTGGATTTTACTTTATATGCATATGCAGGTGTATGAGACCAGGGATGTTTTCCCCCCCAGGCCTGAAACTAGTAGTGGAGTGCAGATAAATGAAGTTGGTCAGTCTGTAGACTGCTGGTGAGACAATGTGCTTTAGATGTATGGAGAGATCCAGTAGACTTCATGAGCTGATACCGGTGGTTCACTCAGGGACCTGGGAAGATTGAAGTCCAGCTTGGATAACACAGCATGAACCTGTCTATGATGAGCAAGCATGAAGCGACAGTGGAGAGGAAAAACTCCCTCTTTGGAAGACGCCTCTGACAGAACCAGGCTCAACATGGTGGTCTGCTGCCGGACCGGTTTAGATGAGAATGCAGTAAGAGTCCGGGAGGAATGACACTGATAGGGGAGAGGTTGAAGAAGCACTGTGGGAAAGCCAGATGGAGCTTAGCTACGATGGAGGTGGGTTAAATTAGGGTCATCTGAGTCAATACCACACATAGCGCAACCACTGCTTGCATTTGGCTGGGTAGCAAACTTAAAGACCTTTAAAGATGAACGCTGATTAGACGTCTTAGAGGTGCTGTTCAAAGCTGATTGGTTTGCGTCAGAGACAGATGAGCCTCTGATGATGAGGGCAAGTAATTCAGTTTCTTCAGTTAAACTTCCGCATAGGCTTCGTTTAAACTCACATACATAAAGGGGATCATCTCCAGACTTCACACAGTAATGTCAAAGAGTTTAATAGCTGCTCCTTAACTGCTTAAAACTCATGTATTTAATGTTATTCTGCTTGCTTTTCCTGCAGCCATCTCTGGGTTTGGGAAGAAATTCACCTCCTTATTTTGAGGTGACACAAATAAGGTATGTACTTTTTTGTTTTATATTTTTATTCTATCATAAATATCGAATAGAAGGACTTCTACATTTCTTGTTAACTAAAAATTAGCCTCAATGGAATTAGATGGTGTTATTGATGATGTCACAAAAAGACTAAATGATAGCTGATGTAAAAGATGTAAACCTTAAGCAAGGGGAGATTATATAAGAGCATGTTTGAAAAGATCAGAACAGCTTCCTATCTGAGTAAAACCAGAATCTAAAGTGGACTCACACAAAGCAGGCCTCCATCTCTAGAAAACCTAGAAATAGAACCTTAGGGCACAACATGAGCCAAGGAAGAGGAGGAAGAATTAAACTGGAATTCAAATTCTCTACATCAGCAGTGGGGTTTTTTTCGACTGCCCTTCTTGTGCGGGGTGAGAGTTTTAGCACTAATAGTGATAACTTGTGTGTAATATGACACTCCGCCCCTACCAACCAGACTGTGCTAACACAGCGTGTTGATGATGATTTGGAAAATGACTTCTGAGATTGTAAGAGAATTCAATCAGCGGAGCTCAAACACAGAAAGATGTCTATCAATATGCATCATGTTATTAGTCTGTTTATGCTTTTTATATTAATGTAATATAAAACAATCTGTTTTAACATGATCATATTTTTACAGGACTCTAAAATATGTCAAAATGAAGTCATGAGGCCCCGTACAAGAAAAACCTCTGAAGTTCCCCCTGCTTTTGTTTTCTGAAAAAAAAGAGAAAAGAAGGAGAGAGAGGATGATTGCTGAAAGGAGGCTGAGCATACTGGTGAGTATAGGAGGTCTACGGTTCAGCTTTTTTGAATCAACGTGCTTGCCTTCTTCATTATTTGGTTAGGAAAAAATGTTGTTTTTTTAGATTTAATGCAGCAGATTTAATACCCTCTTTCAACAGGTGTGCATGTATTTTAGCAAAAGTGACTTGATCAGCTTTTAAAAGCAATTAAATCTAATCTCAAAACTGCAAACAGACCAGACATAATTGTTACAGAAGTTAGAATGTTGTTTTTAAAACTTCTGCACACAATGAAAGGAGAAGCAAACATGGAAAACTCTGAAATAACTGATCATTTGCAGATAAAAGCCCTTCTTTAGAAGCACAGTTATTATTTGTGTGTCTAGTGTATTAATATTCTATGACCTTAGAGAAATAGCCGATTTATTAATTGGTCAAAAGCCTGTTTGCAAACATTCATTCTACAAGGAGATGGTTATTTACATGTGGAAAACATTGAACCCAGTGATGTCCTGGTTAAATTAACTCAAAGATTCAACCAGAAATAAAAATAACAAAAAACAAAGAGCTACATCTTAAACTCCTGAGGTCTCAGTTTGCATGATTAACTGAGCTTAAAGCACAGTATAGCACTAGTATGTTCTTTTTTTTTTATCAACATTTATTTTCACTCATAACAATGTATTTTGTTGTTTTCAGCCTGTTGAAACACAAATAAAATAATTTCTCTAATGAAATCTGTAAGAGGCAGACACTTTAAAACTGCTGTATTCCTACAACTTTTTTACATTTATCAGTTCAATAAAAGATTTTGCAGTCTAATTCATTAAGATAAGAATTTTAATCAATCAACACCAATATTTAAATAAAAAAAATATATATGTTTTGCAGCAGGTCATGTTTTTTCAGCGTAAGCAACAAGATAACTTCCATTGAAAGGAAACATTTCACCTACCAACACCAGTTCAGATGCTGCATTTGTTTTCACCATCACATCAAGCCGCCCACATAATCCTGTTTGTGTTGTGATGATCATCTGTGATTAGAGTTGATATCTTTTCCATCTGATCTATAAGCTGGAGCAGTTTGACCCATCAGACATGCAGTAGATTAAAACCACATTATGAGAGCAATGACAGCTGATAACGACCATTTATCTGTCTAATAAGGATTAAAGTTGCTCTATCATGTAGTTGAGCTGCAGAAAAAGATTTGACTAAAATAAAACCTCTATGGGTGCCATTAATAACGTTTAAGTATTCAAGCATCTTTGGAGAAAAGCTATATAAATACAGCAAACATTATGATACTTTTGGAGATTTCATCTTAAAAGATGAATATATTTTAGAGAAAAATCTGTTAGTTCATATTTAATACACTAAAAACATGGTTATGGAAAATGCTTGAAGCTTTAAAAAGAATTTTTTTTTTGGCATTCTCAGAAATTAAATTGAAACTATACATTGTTAATCATAGGAGATTCTGAAATTTGGTTGATTTACATGATCAGGTACCTATTCAGGTTCAAAGCAAGAAAGAAAACATACTGACTCAAATAGCATTTCTAGCTTTGAAACGGTTTATAGTAATGTGGAGGGGAAAAAAATAATGATTCTAGAGCCGTTTCAGCAAAACAACCAAAGTTAAAATATTGGAAAGTTTTTTTATTCATTAGCAGACTGAAAAGTGCCTAAAATAATAAGCATGTACATTGAGGTTTGGTGTTATTAGCTGCTGCTGAAGGCAGATTAGACACAAATCAATCTAGATTTGGGGTTAAAAATGCATTTCTGAGAACAATTCATTTCATTCTATTATTCTTTTAACTTTAAGCAATGTTATATTAACTTCTCCACCAGTACCTGAGAACAAATCCTGCAGGACCTTTAATTTTACCATAAGCCTTTTGATGGCATCTTCCTCCTTCTTGAGTTTCTTATTCGTTCATTTAAACGGCAACTAATGACAGAGAATTCATTTCAATCCTTACCTTGAATGAATGAGATCCCTCCAATGCTTTGGGAGCTGCCATGACCAGGTCTTTGCCCATCAGATGAAAAATTGTAAGCCTGTCTAACGACCTGAAGAGTTTTTTACGGTAATGTCACAATAATGGTTAAAAAGTTTCTGAAAGGATTTATCAGTTTTTTTACAACACAGAACCCCCAGGATTATGCAAACTTCATAAATCCACTGGCCTATGATATATTCATGCATTATTCTAAATACTGAGAAACTTCCATAGCTGTTTGGTAAATTCCTTTTATAAAGATACTATTTTCCAAAAGCCAAGTTAAACTTGAAGTTACCTTTGTGAGACATTAATCCTGCCCTGTGATTTAATCCCCAGCTGTAAGCTTATAGACACCAGGGGGAAAGACTTTAACCAAAATACTTCTGTCTCTTTTTGCAGCCAAAACAGACTGGAATCCTCTGGATGCTTCATGTCTTAGATCTGAGCACACAAAGGCAGAGAGAAGACTCTGATCTCTCTGACAGGCCAGACAGTAAGTTACTATTACCTTCACACACAAAAAAAATCTCTTGAAAGATTTTTTATTGCTGTAGAAATCCAAACTTTATGACCTTGATTTCATTTTGCAATTTAATTTTAAAGGTTAGCCTGCATGATAACCAACTAGGTTATCTGGCTCCTTATTTGGTTGTATATGGTTTTTATATCGCTCTATTAGGCTTTTTAAATTACATGTTAATCTGAGCTAATCAGACTTTAGTGGAAATGTTTTATGTAACTCATTTCAGAAAGTTGTTTTTTTTATAGTATTTTATTTTGAGAAACATATTTCCCTTCATTGTTTCTTATGTTTTAATTATTACTGACTACATATAATGAAATTTCAAAATGGGTTTCTCAGAAATTTACAGAATATTGAAAAAGATCAATATCTCATGATGTAAAACCCTAAATACCCAACAGTAATTCCCACAAAGAAAATGGTCCATCAGTCCCAGCAATAAACTAAACATTAATGAAGGAGACCTTTAACTCATAGATGTACAAAAGTCACAATACTTTAGCTTTTCAAAGATGTATTTGTATAGTAAAATACATTAAAGGTCTTACTATATAGAAACCTACGTTATATCCCAATCACAATTAAAGAGGAAGATTCCTGTCTAATCCTCATTTTTAGAATCATTAAGCATCGACTCTGAAAGGAATCATATCAGTTTGGTTTGAAAAGAAAGCAAAGGAAAGTAGGTATCATTATAATTTAATTTCACTTAATTGTCTTCATTAATGATTGAAGAAACATGCAAATATTTGTTAAATACTAGTGAAAGGGACATGAGCGATAATATTAGGGAATAGTACATTTAAAACATCAATATTGATCCATTAGAAAATAAATCTTTTTTTTATCCAAAATGTAATGGTCTGTGTGATCAAATAAATAACATTCTAGAGCCAAATATTACCTCTAATTCTAATTTAGGATGGAGATAATCCAGAAGGATTTAGGAGAGTCTGTCTGTCAGGCTAACTTAAAGTTATGGAAAGTTAAAAAGTTATGGATGGATTTTAATTATATTGTTATCAGAGGTTTCCCGCATGTCAAGGAATAATTTATTGTATTTTGGTGATGATGCATATCATAATCTGGATACAGGAAATTTAAAATATTTTCTAACATTGTGAGATAGGGATACCAAGCAGTTCCCCACTAAACCAGAGGGTGGCAGCAGTGACTATTCACAGCCTCAGCATTGGACTCAAAAAGTCTAGAGGTATTTTACTGAAGTCACCAGAGGTGCACCTCACGCCACTGAATAATTCATTCAAATTTGGTAATATTCCAGATCACGTGTGAGTTTTAGCTATAGGTGGAAAGTCATAATTTGGGGAAAAAATTTCCCTTGGTGGAGGTCAATTTGTACATATCAGGGAAAGCTAATTCTGAAACACAAGGTTGATTTTCTGGAAAATGTCAGAAGAAGGATACAGCATTGATCATTTTAGCTTGATGAAAATACACTTATATTGTGTTTTATGATGAGTGATTCAACAGTTTAAAAATGTGGATATGGTTCATTAAAGTTTACCTGCTGCAGGGAGAGGCCTTATGTGCCATCATGCTCTTCAAGACTCTGAAGCCTCTTGGCGCTTCGATGTTTGTACCTGCACCTGAAAAAAACTAAAACCTGGATTTTTTTTTGAGGGGCTCACCTTCTTTAGAGTCAGCTGTAGAGAACAGTCTCAGGATCCAACAGTAGATATAGTTCAGACCAGATGTTTACATCCTTTATATTAGAAAAACAAAATTTCAGCACTTTCTAAATAGATTTAATATTTCCAGTTGTAGCTCATGGAGGATAACTTTGAATATCTATATCTGCAAAATTTACAAAATTAATGAATATTTTATTTTCAGAAATGAAACTATGAATTGAAATTCAGATTTTTATATACACAAAGAGTGTTATAACTTTGAACATTATGGAAAGGCCAGCTGATAATGTGATGCCTTTTTGCATTCTGACAGTTGATGCAAGGCCAAATCTCAGACTGCTTTCTGTTGTGACACCAAGAACAAAATCGAATTAAGTCAGAAAAGATATCAGCCATCAACATGTGAATGTCCAACCATCATAAGGAAACTTGGAGAAGAAGTCAGATCGTCCAAAACAATTAGAAAACAGCAAATTGCACTTTGCAAAAGCATTCCTGGGGTCAGAAGGTGGGGAAGGTGCAAAACAGAAGGTATCATGAGGAATTAAGGCTACATAGAAACACTAAGATTCGGTCAGGGAGGTCAAACTTGGAAACAAAAGGGTTTTTGTAAATGGAAAATAAAGTGACAATCAGAAAGATCTCAGTGCTAAAGAAAGGAGGAGGAACAAGGACCAAAACTCCATTACACTGTTTTTTTTTTTTAGAAGCAGCTGGAATGAAACCCAACAGGTCAGACCCAAGTCACTCAGGTTAGGGTTCAATCCTGCCAAATACAAAGAAAATTTAGATAACCTGAGGAGCTGAATAACAACATCCTCTGTTTCTCTTCTGGCAAGTAGAAATAAGTTTAGAAATTTTAACTGAGCTAAGATTTATTTTATGTCAAAATGCGAAGGAAAAAAAACAGTGTTATTTTGTCTCTTAATTCAGTGAAAGTAAATATCTGGTTTATGTACCTGAGACCAGATGCATACGTGCGTACGGATACAGTAGGCAGAAAGATGGATCATGCAAAAAAGCTATTTTTGACAGTTTTGTTTTACATCTTAGGCGTGCTGATCCTGACGGCTCTGCGGGCTCCTGTAATGAGACATGACAGGAAGCTGTATGACGCGGCTGTAATAAAGCGAAGCAGAAATTACTGCGTTCCTCTGCCTTGATAACAGTGGCTTCTGAAGCCTTTGATGCAGCACTGGATGAAGGGCAGGCCTTGATGTTGCCGGTTTATTTCACAGCGTGAACACAGTGTTGCGTGGAGCGAGTTTCTCTTCCGTTCAGCCATGCAGCGGCTATCTGCCTCATGTGGCTCCAGCTGCTGCTGCACTGCCAGTCCTCCCACGTTTCTCCAGCTTTCAGATACGTTTCTCCTCTTATCCTCACCTCCCATATAAATTCCCCTTATATTTCCTGTCTTATAATCTCACGATTCCCATTAAATACTGTAAATCTTTTCCTTTTTTTTTTTGACTTCCCAAAAATAATGTCCCCATTTCATGTACCTTTTTGTTTTTACTTTACATCAAAATTTTATTTTTTTGTTTACATTATACAGATATCATGTCTGTACATTAAATCTCCTCTTTTTTTTCTGGAGGATTTTTCCTTAGAGATACTGGCTGTGGGTGTTTGTTCCCATTCAGTCAAAAAAGCATTATGTAGGCCTGCTTCTGATGGGCTGACTCACTGTTCCACTTCAGCCCCAAAGCTGTTTGAAGACGTTCAGATCACAGCTCTGCAGATACATTTTCCAACAGTGAAAAGGAAATCTTTCCCTATTTTCCTTTTTTTTCCTGGGCTTGATCCTGCTCACATGTTTGAATGTGTGAACCCTATGCATCCAACTCTCTGCCTAGTGAGCCAGTTTGTTTGTTCGTTTGAATTCATACATGCTTATGTGCATCACTGTGCATGTTCCCCTGCCTGCTGTTTACAAGCCCTCTGGGGTCCTGTGTTCAGTGGAACAGAGTAAGTTTGGTGATAGAACGCATGTTTGGAGATGTTAAAGCTGAGTCACACAGAAAGTGAACTGGAAGGCAGTGATTCAATAAAAAGGAGGCTTTAGTAAATGTTGTATAGAGGAATCAGGATTTATGATATTTTCAGTTTGTGCAAAATTATTCATATTCAGATGTTTTAGATTTTGTTACAGAAAACTTCTATGTATTTCTTCTAGGTTTAATGTAATAAACTGTTACAATGTAACGAACGTAATGAGTGATAACTAAAACTGGTGCATGTTTTTTTTTTATTTCTTTACAAGTATAACAGTGAAACGTGGTGTAAAACCACATTATATTACGTTTTGGTAGAGGTGGTTCACTATTTAAGGAGCAAAGAGTTGCGTCTTCAAAAAGACAGTTAACCCCATGTAATAGCGCAATCTTTCCAATAAAGATGCGTTTGGCTCTTGGTTCAGAAGCATCCAAGTTAGACTCACTTCAGATCTGTCAGATGTTGTTTAATGTGATCATGCAATCAGCAAACTTTCTTTCCTCTTGATCAAGACGCTTTATTTTCCAAAATCAAAACAAACTTAGATTTACTTACCGCAATATGACATGACACACAGATCATATCGGCTCATTTCGTTCCCTTTTTGCCACTCAAAGAAAACAACTATAATAATAATCAAAAGCAGTCAAAAACTGTATGGCTGCGCTGACTGAATCCAAAAGCTCACCCGGCCCCAATAGCCAACTCCAATATAATCCAGGTGCTGCAGTCACCTGTCCATAATGAAGGGGCAGAGGCGAGAGACAGCGTAAATTATGAATGGCAGCAAAACACAACTAAACAAATTCATAATTTCATA